CAACTTTCCACCTTAGATTACAGCATCAGTCATGGAAGAAGAAAAAAATCATTTGATTGCTATATTGCAGGCAATGGAAGCTGTTTTTCATCCCATCTGACAAAATAAGTGGTTCTGTAGAAAATAAAAATGGTATATTAAACAGTAGTATTTTATAATAATGTTATGACTTCATATCTGCTAATAATGAACGAGAAACCCCATAATAATGATTTCTCAAAAATACTATGACTTAATGTCCCATTAAAACAGAATCACAATTTTGAATCATCCGTGACAAAAACTGACGTCCATATATCAGACACAGTGATTGACAAACCTAGCTGAATAATTCAGGCTAACTTGGGGAGAGTGTTTTTTAACAACATACTGGATGTGTGTGTGTGTTCTTGCATCTGTCCGACAGCATCCCGTAAATGCCCCGCCCTGCCTCTGCACCAGGACATCAGACTTCTACCTGTTAGACTGCGGCATCACCGGCCTATCCTTGGCAACCGGTACCGCGGTAACCTGAGTCTCCTCCTCCTCTTCCTCCCGGTCCGGACACCAGAACGCATGCAGTGAGGACACACCGCCTCAGCACTTTCGTGAGTGTGTGTGTGTGTGTGTGCGAGGGGGAACGAGTCTGTTGTGTGCGCATGTGGCCCTGTGCGAATGTGAATAATTGATTAGGACGCAGCTTCAGAATGTCCTGTGAGTGTGTGAGGTTGAAAGGGTGAGAGTGTGTATATGCTTGTCAGTAGAGATGGGGGATAAGAGTGCTGTGCACCAGCAAAAACAGCCTCCTTACGATGGACTGTGCAACTACGCCCAAAAAATTACCTCCTGCTTCGGACTTGATGGTAAGCACCGTCCCAGTGTCTTCTTCTATGTGATATATGTGTTCATCTCTATAGGAGGCTCGGGGGCTTTGTGTTTACGCTTGGTTCGTTTGTGTTCATTGTTTTGCTTTGTGAGGGAGTTGTCTCTGATGTGTGCGCTGGAGCTGGATCAGTTTCCGCGAGGTGAACTGGGGCGCTTTGCTCTGCAGCAGAGAGATTTATTCCCACTGTACCTTGTGTTAGTTTGTGCTAAGCTAATTTGCTGTATGGTCCACTTCACAAGAAGACACTGCAAACTCGTCTGTCCCGAGTGTGTAGACAACAAAAAACAAATCTGAATGATAAAACTATAACGTTGATGGTACTGTATCTAAAACATATATGAAGAGGACATGATGTCCTGCCCATTCATTCACTGTGGTCTTTTTATATCACTGGAGATGCTTTAAAGGAGTAGTTCACTTTTAAAAAAAACTTTTGCTGATAATTTACTCACCCCCTTGTCATCCAAGATGTCCATGTCTTTCTTTCTTCAGTCGAAAAGAAATTAAGGTTTTTGATGAAAACATTCCAGGATTTTCTCCATATAATGGACTTCAATGGGAACCAAACGGTTCAAGGTCCAAATGAGAGTTTCAGTGCAGCTTTAAACGATTCCAGACGATGAATAAGGGTCTTGACTCGAAATAAGATTTGTTCATTTTGATGAACGAGTTCGAACAGGAGAGTCACGAACACGCATCACAGAACAGAGCAAAGCGAGCATTTGTGCTTATAAAACGTACACTTTTTTACTTATTTTTTTAATGACCGATCGTTTCGCTAGATAAGACCCTTATTCATCTTCTGGTGTCGTTTAAAGCCTTTTGAAGCTGCACTGAAATGGTCATTTGGACCTTGAACCGTTTGGTTCCCATTGAAGTCCATTATATGGAGAAAATCCTGGAATGTTTTCATCAAAAACCTTAATTTCTTTTCTACTGAAGAAAGATTGACATGGACATCTTGGATGACATGGGGGTGAGTAAATTATCAGCAAAAGGTTTTTTAAAAGTGAACTACTCCTTTCAGGGGGTCGCCTAAAAATGAAAATTGTTCATTTACTCACCCTCAAGTTGTTCCAAACCTGTTTGAATTTCTTCTTCTGCTGGACACAAAATAATATATTTTAAAGAAAATGATTAGCCAAAGAGTTGATGGACCCAATTGACTTCCACAGTGTGGAAAATAATGGGGACCATCAACTGTATGGTTTATGACCAAAATTTTTTTTTTTTTTGTGTTCAGCAGAAATAAAGGTTTGGAGCAACTTGAGGGTGAGTAAATGATGACGACAATTTAGATTTTTTTTTTGGTGAACTATCCCATTAACTGATATCAGTGGATGAATGATTTCAGCGCTAAAAAAATAATCCTGTAAAAAAAAAAAAAAAACAGTAAACTACTGGCAGCATCATACCGTAACTATACACTGTGTGTTACTGTTTTTGTGTTAGAGCATATAGCTGTTAAATTAGAGTTTTATACTGTAGCTGACAATACAGTATTTAGCTTTTCATTTCAAAAACAGTAACACACCGTATTTTACAGTATGATGCTTTGCAACCACAGCTTCCAGTAGTTTACCGTTTTTTTTACAGGATTATTTTTTGCAGTGTGGGAAAGGGCCTTGAGAGAGATCGGAAGAGAGCTTCATTTAACGGAGACAGCAGAGCTCTATTATTCATGAAGCCCTATCACGCAGAAGTAGAGTTAGATCATGAGAAGTTCATCCCTCTTTCGCTCACTCTCTCTCTCTCTCTTTCACGCCATC